TCAAGAGGAAATAAACAATGACATAGCTGTTATGAAAAATACCTTAGAAGGGTTCAATAGTAGATTAGAAGAAGCTGAAGACCAAACCACTGACTTAGAAGACAAGGTAGAAAAAAACACTCAAATAAAGCAGCAAATGGGGGGAAAAAATTAAAAAGCAGGAGGAGAGTTTAAGGGAGCTGTGGGACAATACAAAACAACAACATTAGCATTACAGGGATACCAGAAGGAGAAGAATTGGAGAAAGAAACAGAGAACCTGTTTGAAGAAATAATGACAGAAAACTTCCCTAAACTGGTGAAGGAACAAGTCAAACAAGTCCAGGAAACACAGAGAATCTCAAGCAAGATGAACCCCAAAAGATCCAATGCTAGACACATCATAATAAAAATAGCAAACATTAAAGACAAACAAAGAATCTTAAAGGAGGTAAGAGAGAGACAGGAAGATACCTACATGGGAGCTCCCATTAGACTGACAGCTGATTACTCAACAGAAATGCAGCAAGCCAGAAGGGAGTGGCATGAAGTGTACAAAATAATGCAAGGCAAGGGTCTGAACCCAAGACTACTCTATCCCAAAAGGCTATCACTCAAAATTGAAGGTTAAGTAAAGAGCTTCACACATAGAAAGAAAGAAAGAAAGAAAGAAAGAAAGAGAGAGAGAGAGAGAGAGAGAGAGAGAGAGAGAAAGAAAGAAAGAAAGAAAGAAAGAAAGAAAGAAAGAAAGAAAAAGGAATGTACCACCACCAAACCAGCACTGCAAGAAATGCTGAAGGGACTGTTATAAGTAGCAGAAGAAACAGAGAGAGCGAAAAGAACACAGACATAAAATACAAATACCAATTAATACCTATCTGTCACTAATAACCTTAAATGTAAATGGCTTAAATGCTCCAATCAAAAGAATTAGGGTAGCTGATTGGATAAGAAAACAAAATCCACATATATGCTGTCTACCAAAGACCCACCTCACAACAAAAGACTCACACAGGATAAAAGTGAAGGGATGGAAAAAATTTTTCAAGAAATGGAAATGAGGGACTTACGGTCAAGATGGCGGCGTAGGTAACCGCGGTATCGCGTCCTCCCACAACCACATCAAAGTTACAACTAAACTACAGAACAACCATCATTCAAAACCGCCTGAAATGAAGCTGAATGGAAGTCCTACAACTACAGAATTAAAGCAGCAGCCACTTCCAGACTGGTAGGAGGGGCAGAGGCGCAGGGCCGGTGGCGAGACAGGCCGATCCCACACCCACATGTGGTGGATAAAAATCAGGAGGACACCTCGGCTGGGAAGGCCCTTCCTGAAGACTGAGGGGTCCCTGTCCCACACCAGGTGCCCCTCTCAGGGTTCCAGTGCCAGGAAGAGAATCCCCATAACTTCTGGCTGGAAAAACCAGCAGGAACTGAGGCTCAGGGAAGCTGAAGTGGCAGGAACCCCAGGCAGCTCCTTTAAGGGCCCGCGGACGGACTTATCGGACTCTCTCCCTCTAAGCTCGGAGGGGAGGCAGCTCCAGGGGCACCAGAGACATACAGGGAAGAACTGAGCTGTTTGGCACTGGAGCGAGGCCTGGAGAGGGGGCTTTCTCCGGGACAAACGTGCTGTCAGAGGCCTTTGTTCCTTTGGTGAACCCTTCCCTGGGGCAGCAGACAGCCCCATATCTGGGACTCCAGCAACCTGGCTCACACGGGTAGCCCCGCCCCAGTGACTCCCTGAGGCCCCGCCCCACCCAACTTTCAGGCCCACCCAAGCTGTTGCCACTTGCTTAACCATAGGATTGGCCTGTCTTGGATCCTGCTTCAGGTTTTTCCTAAATTCTTTCAAACGAGCAGCATCTGGTCTCAGCTAGCCCCATACCGCTCGTTAAGTAATACACAGAAAGAAACACAGGGAGGCAGCCAAATTGAGGAGACAAAGAAACAGGTCCCAAAGGAAAGAACAGAACAAAACCCCAAGAAAAGAACTAAGCGAAATGGAGATAAGCAACCTAACAGATGCTGAGTTCAAAATACTGCTTATAAGGATGCTCAATGAACTCAGTGAGGGCCTCAAGAACATAAAAAAGGACCAGTCAGAAATGATGGATGCAGTCAGAATTGAAGGGGGTATTAACTGAAATAAAGAATAATTTACACAGATTCAATAGTAGAGTATGTAAATCCAAGGAGCAAACCATCAATTTGGAATATAAGGAAGCAAAAAACGCCCAATCAGAACAGCAAAAAGAAAAAAGAATCCAAAAAAATGAGGATAATGTAAGAAGCCTCTGGGACAACATCAAGCGTGCCAACATTCGCATCTTAGGGGTGCCAGAAGGAGGAGAGAGAGAACAAGAAATCGAAAACCTGTTTGAAACAATAATGGCAGAAAACTTTCCTAACTTGGTGAAGGAAACACACATACAAGTACAGGAAGCACAGAGAGTCCCAAATAAGATGAACCCCAAGAGGCCCACACCAAGACACATCATCATCAAAATGCAAAAGGTTCAAGACAAAGACAGAATCTTACAAGCATCAAGAGAAAGGCAGCTAGTTACCTACAAAGGAGTTCCCATAAGGCTGTCAGCTGATTTCTCAAAAGAAACTTTGCAGGCCAGAAGGGAGTGGCAAGAAATATTCAGAGGGATGAAAAGCAGGAACCTACAACCAAGATGACTCTATCCTGCAAAGCTGTCATTTAGAATCGATGGCCATATAAAGACTTTCCCAGACAAGAAAAAGTTAAAGGAGTTCATCACCACCAAACCGTTATTATATGAAATGATGAAGGGTCTTTTTGAAGAAAAAGATAAAATGTATGAACAAACAAAATGCCAGTGAATACATATCTATCAACAATGGAATCTACAACCAAAATGAACAGGTAGAACAGACACATTCTCATAGATACAGAAAACATTTTGTTGGTTGCCAGATGGGAGGGGGCTTGGGGGAATGGGTGAAAAAGGTGACGAGATTAAGAAGTACAAATTCATTGCTAGACTGACAAACCTCAAAGGGAAAGGGATTGGGGGGGTGGGAAGAAATAAACCAAAGAACTTATATGTATAACCAATGGACTCAGACAATAGTGTGGGAAAAGGTGGGAGGGGGGCAGGTGTGGGAAGGGGGGGTCAATGGGGGAAAAATGTGGAACATCTGTAATACATTTTACATTCAACAATAAAGATTTAAAAAATAAAAAATAAATAAAAAGAAAAAAAGAAATGGAAATGAAAAAAAAAGCTGATGTAGCAAAACTCATATCTGACAAAATTGACTTTAAAATGAGGGCCATAATAAGAGACAGAGAAGGTCAAGACATAATATTAAAAGGATCAATTCAACAAGAGGATATAACCCTGGTAAACATATAGGCACCAAATACGGGAGCACCAAAATATATTTAAAGCCCTGGCCAGTTTGGCTCAGCGTTTAGAGCATTGGCCTGTGGTCCCAAGAGACCCGGGTTCAGTTCCCGCTAAGGGCGCCTACCTGGGTTGCAGTTTGTCTCTGGCCCTGGTTGGTCATTCGGGTGGCAGCCACTTGATGTATCCCTTTCACGTCAATGTTTCTCTCTCTCTCTCTCTCTCTCTCTCTTTCTCTCTCTCTCTGTTCCTCTCTGTCCCTCCCAATCTACCTGAACAAGAAATGGAAAAATGTCGTTGGGTGAAGACAAAATAAAAATAAAAATTTATATATATATATATATATATATATATATATATATATATATATGTACACACACACACACACACACACACACACTTCTGGAGTTCTTCAAGGAAGAGATCAGTAGCAAGGCAATAATAGTGAGTGACTGTAACACCCCACTGACACCACTGGATAGATCTTCTAGACAAAAAATTAACAAGGATATAGAGTCCTTAAATGACAAATTAGATCATTTGGACTTAATTGATATTTACAGAACATTTCACCCCAAAGCTGTAGAAAGTATATTATTCTCAAGTGCATATGGGACATTCTGAAAGACAGACCACATGTTGGGACACAAAGTAAGTCTCTGCAAATTCAAGAAGACTGAAATCATATCAAGCATCATCTCAGATCAGAAAGGAATGAAATTAGAACTCAGTTACCACCAAAACACACAAAAACAATCAAACACTTGGAGGCTAAATAGCATGTTATTAAACAACAAATGTGTTACCAATAAGATCAAGGAAGAAATGAAAAACTTCCTGGAAACCAATGAAAATGAATACACAACAACACAAAATCTATGGGACACAGTGATAGCAGTCCTGAGAGGGAAGTTCATAGCACTACAGGCCTACTTCAAAAAAACAAGAAAAATTTCTAATTGACTTTTTTACTCTACAACTTAAAGAACTAGAAAGAAAACAAAAAGAAAAACCCAGAGCAAGTAGAAGGAAAGAAATAGTAAAGGTCAGAGCAGAAATAAACGACATAGAGACTAAAAAGACAGTTGAAAAGATCAATGAAACAAAAAGCCTGTTCCTTCAAAAGATAAACAAGATCGATGGACCTTTAGCCAGCCTCACCAAGAAACAAAAAGAGTGGACCCTAATAAAAAAAATCAGAAACAAAAACGAAGAAGTAACAACTCACACCACAGAAATACAAAGGATCATCAAAATATATTATGAACCAAACCCGGGTCTCTCTGGACTGCAGGTCAAAGCTCTAACTGCTGAGCCAAACCGGCTAGGGCACCATAATCTTTAAAACACCACAGTATCGCTCAGTTTGTGTGGCTCAGTGGATTGAACATCATCCCACAGACTGAGAGGTCCCAGTTTGATTTCCCATCAGGGCACATGCTCAGGTTGTGGGTTTAATCCCCAGTGGGGGGCGTGCAGGAGGCAGCTGATTGATGTTTCTCTCTCACATAGATGTTTCCCTCTCTCCCTTCCTCTCTCCCTATAAAGACCCAATAATCAAAAATCAATAAATAAGCACAATAGAACATCACAGTGTCTCAGTCACTGCTTGCATGCATTCACGTGTGTTTCCGATCTCCAGTGCACTCCATAAGGCTTGCTGGGAGAGAAAGTCGACTTGAAGAACCTTTTTCCAGTGATATCTGCCAAATAGCTGATGAAATTGTTTGTGCCCTGCTGCCAGTCCTCCAGGATAAACCATTTGCATTTTTTGGCCACAGGTATTTAAAATCTATTTTAAAAGACGTTTCCTAGATCATGAGTCCTTGGTAAATGTTCTTTGTGTCATGTGAGACGCATACCTTCTGCATTGGTTACACTGCTTCATCACTGCTTGAAGGAGTGATTTATTTTTTTATTTTTATTTTTAGACATCCTTCCCATCATCCTTTTATTTTTTTTTAATTTTCATTCGAGGACATTTTTCCATTTTTTGTACAGACAGTGTGGGAAGGAGAGAAAGGAAGAGAGAGAGAGGGAAACATCGATGTGAAAGGGACACATCGAGTGGCTGCCACCCGCACAACCAACCAGGGCCGGGGACAAACTGCAACCGAGGTACATGCCCTTAGCGGGAACCGAACCCGGGTCTCTCCGGACCGCAGGTGGACGCTCTAACCGCTGAGCCAAACCGGCCAGGGCAAGGAGTGATTTATTAAATGCGCTTCAAGCTGTTTTCAGACAAGGAAGTCAGACAAAGAAACTGTGCAATAGAAACCATAAAGATGTAACTGTCAGGTCATGTGATAAATTGTACAAATCCTGGGCTCCTTCTGGCATCTTTTCTTTGGAAAATAGTTCTAGGATATTGAATCATTATAACCAGTCACAACTTTTACAACTGGCCTGTTTGCATAGTAAAAAAATCAGGACTTGTAAAATCATTATTTTAGCAGTAACTTATATTCCACTTTTTTTTTTTTTTTACAGATGTTTCTCCTATTTTCCCTCATTGACACCCTCCTCCCAATCCTGCCCCCCACCCCAGCATTATTGTCTATGTTCTTGTTTACACATACATGTGTATAAGTTCTGTGACTTATTTCTTCCTTCCCCCCACATTTACCTCTTCTGAGGTTTTCGGTTCGCACCCCACTTTTATGTCTCTGGGTCTATTTTGTTCCTCAGCTTGTTTTGTTCATTATATTCCACAAATAAGTGAGATCATTTGATACTTGTCTTTTTTTAACTGGTTTGTTTTGCTTAGCATAATACTCTCCAGGTCCCTCCATGTCATCTCAAAGGATAAGAGATCTTTCTTTCTTACGGCTGCATAGTACTCCATTGTGTATATGTACCATGGCTTTTATATCCACTCATCTTTTCATGGACACTTGGCTGTTTCCAGATCTTAGCTACTGTAAATAGTGCTGCCAAGGGACATACGAAAAAATGCTCAATGTCACTAATCATCAGAGAGATGCAAATTAAAACAACAATGAGGTATCACCTCACACCTGTCAGAATGGCCACCATCAACAAATTATCAAACAACAGGTGCTGGCGAGGGTGTGGAGAAAAGGGGAGTCTAGTACACTGCTGGTAGGAATGCAGACTGGTACAGCCACTATGGAAAACACTATGGTGTTACCTCAAAAAATTAAAAATTGAACTGCCATTTGACCCAGTGATCCCACGTCTAGGAATATACCCCTAAGAAGCCTGAAACACCAATCAGAAAGAAAATATGTATTCCACTTATTTTTAATTTTAAAAACGATAAAGATAGTATGTGCTAGGTTCTATAATTTTAAGGTTATAACTTGAAACCTGGAGTTTTGTCTGCCTCTTTATCTGTTTGACTGGGGACAAATTCCTAAGGTTTTTAAATTTGTTTTCTTCTTTGTGAAATTGGAATAATAGTTCCTCCTTGTGAGGATTAAATGAATAATGTTCATAAATTATTTGATATGTAGTAAGGCCTCGCTAAATATTGGACACCATATTATATAATATTTACAGATATGGTCAGGCAAAAAGTAAACAGTATGCATCATCCTAGAAAGTACTTTATAATGTTGGTGTGATTCCATAGTATTTTACATATATGGTCCTGTTTTGTATCTTTTCCTGAGTTTCTTTCACTTACTATTGCTGTGGAGTTCACATGGCTTCATGACCTGTTCTTATCAATCCCCTTTGGGGACATAGAGTTAATTTTACCTTTTTCTATGAGCTCATGAACATGTATGCATAGCCCATGGACATAGACAACAGTGTGGGGAGGGGCGTGGAGGTGGGTAAAGAGTGTGAGAAACGAGGGTCATCTGTAATAGTGTCAACAATAAATAATAATTTAAAAATATTTTTAAAATGTCATCTTAAAAAACATTTCAAAGAACATTATTTTGTTTTTGTTTTGTTTTTGTATGTGCCCCTAGCCAGACCAAACCCGGGACTCTGATCCACAGGCCAACGATCCAACTGCTGAGCCAAACCCGCCAGGGCTCAATGAACATCATTTGTAGAAAATTTAGTACACAGCTCATAAGTTTCTTAGGATATATTTCCAGAATTTGGGTTAAATGATATACCAATTGTCAAAGCTCTTGATATATATTGCAAAATTACCTGCAATTGACACTTCCTCAACTACAAACACTGGACCCGCCCTGGCCAGTTTGGCTCAGCAGTTAGAGCATCACCCAGCAAACCAATGAGGGGTGGGTTCGATTCCCCTCAAGGGCAAGTACCTGGGTTATGGTTTGTCCCTGGTGCTGGTAGTGGTTGTGAAGGGAGGCAGCTGGTCGATGTGACACATCGATGATATTTCTCTTTCTCTCTTCCTCCATCCATGATACCTGAAAATAAAATGGAAAAGACCATCCTCAGGTGAAGATAAAAAACAAAAAAACAAAAAAAAAACAAACAAACAGCCCTGGCCGATTTGGCTCAGCGGTTAGAGCGTCGGCCTGCGGTCCAGAGAGACCTGGGTTCAATTCCTGCTAAGGGCACGTACCTCGGTTGCAGTTTATCCACAGCTCTGGTTGGGTTGTACGGGAGGCAGCCACTCGATGTGTCCCTTTCACATTGATGTTTCTCTCTCTCTCTCCGCCTCCCACTCTATCTGAACAATAAATGGAATACTGTCCTCAGGTGTGGATAAAAAAAAAAAAAAAATGAAGCATGGGACTGAGTTTGGCTTTTCCTCCCCTAAGATATTTACCAAAAAAATCTTGGCAGTATTGCCTACAAAATATATCTACCTAATATCTACAGCAGATACCAAACTTTTTGGTTCCAGTATTGCTTTAATGCTTTTAAAAAGCATTGAGGACCTCAGAGAGCATTGTTTACGTGTGTTATATAATGTCAATGTGTATTATATTGGAAAGCAAACTAAGAAATTTTAAGTACATTTAACTTACCTTAAAATAATATTTAAAAGGCCATTATGTGGTGACATAAATAATACATTTTTAAGTAAAAGACTGTGTTCCCCCAAAAAAGTAGTGGGAGGTGTGGTGTTGTTTTACATTTTTGCAGATCTGTTTAATGACTGGCTCACTAGAATGCAGCTAGATTCTCATTTCTCCTTCTGCATTCAAACTGTTGCAATGTCCCATGTCACATAGCCTCTGGAAAACTCAACTCTGCACTCAGGAGAGAATGAGAGTAAAAAAGGCTTATAACATTTTGGCATTATCATGAAAGTAACTTTAACCTCATAGAACATCTGAAAACTTCTCAGGAATCCCCAGGGGACCCCAGACTGTATTTTGAGAACTTCCGATGAATACTACCAAAGACATAGAGCTAGAGATCTGAAGGGAGAACAAGAAATTTATTTATTTTTTTATTTTTTTATTTTTTTATTTTTTATTTTATTTTATTTGATTATTTTTTTTAATTTTATTTTTTTAAACCTCACCTGAAGATACTTTTACATTTTATCTTCAGACAGAGTGGAAGGGAGAGAGAGAAAGAAATATCGATGTGAGAGAGACACATTGATTGGCTGCCACCTGCACAACCCCAACTGGGGCCGAGGACAACGGCAACCAAGGTACGTGCCCTTGGTTGGAATCGAACCCGGGACTCTTTGGTCTGCGGGCCAATACTCTAACTGCTGTGCTAAACCAGCCAGGGCAAGAAAAAGATATTTAAATAAATTTTAAGACACTGTGCAAATAAGCACTAAATCCTAGACTGAATAATCTAGAATGTCTTAAAATAATTGTATGCTGATGTAAATCATCAAAAGTATACTTTCTACACATACCTTTATTATTAAACTAACTTACACTTTCCTTTGCCTATGTCATAATCATTGCTGTGTTTATAGTCCTTACTCCTACATACTTGCAATGGATTACCATAACACTGTTCAACAGTTGTGATCATGTTTTTCTTTCCCAAATTTAGTCTGGGATCCTATATCGCTTTCATGACAGCACTACACCTGAAGGAAAAACATAAGCTAGAACCGATGCATCTCTTTGTGTCAAGTGCATTTCCTCCTCATGTAAGTAATTTCATTTTCCTTTGGATGAGTGCTGAAGAGGAGAGACATGAGGGGGGAAATCACGTTATTTTCCTGTCTGGTGAATTCTGGTGCAGTGTGGGGATGATGAAAAGACCCTCAAATCTATTCCAGTAGCATCTCTTCTATTCTGGGCAGTGCACTTTAACCATTTCCTGGCCAGTGCCTGCAAAGTCCCTGGTATCTCCAAGCTAACATTGACCCAAAGTGCTTGTTCTTTCATTCTGGGTCAGGTGGGAACTTAATCAACTTTAGGCTAAGATCTGAGCCAGGGAGGAATACTTGAAATCTCCAAAGCGTATAGTGATGTCAATTTTTCAGAACCACCCTGGTTTTTTTTTTTGTTTTGTTTTGTTTTTTTTTTAAGAGAAAGAGAGAGAGGAAGGGAGAGGGAGAGAGAGAAGCATCGATGAGAGAGTGAAACATTGGCTGCTTCCCGCACACCCCCTACCAGGGATCCAGCCTGTAACCACCCAGGGACATGCCCTGACCAGGATTCAAACCGGTGACCTTTTAGTGCATTGGAAAACGCCCAACCAGCTGAGCCACACTATTCGGGCACCCCCCTGGCTTTTAAAGTCAATGCCTCTGGACCTGGAGAGTATTATGCTAAGCAAAATAAGCCAGTCAGAGAAAGACAAGTACCACATGATCTCACTTATGGAATATCATGAACAAAATAAGCTGTCGACCAAGAGAGATCCAGAGCTGTGGAAGTAGGGAGCAGACTGACAAACCTCAGAGGGATGGGGGTGGGAGGGATGGGAAGAGATAAACCAAAGAACTTACATGTCTATGTGCACAGCCAGTGGATACAGACATGGAGCGGGGAAGGGGGTAACAAGCAGGAAGGGGTCAATGGGGACAAAAGGGGGACATCTGTATACTTTCAGTAATAAAAAATAAAGTCAGTGCCTCTGTTCCCACTGCTCCCACTCCTGCCCTTTGCTGTCCCTTCCCCATCCAAGGAAAGGCCCTGGTTCACTGTGGCGGCATCATGACACTGAATTAAGAGTGCGGGGGAACATTCTTCTCCCTGCTGTTAAAGAGGAAGAGGTCTGCCCCGAGACCAGTAGACAAAGAAAGTCCACTTCTGAACGCTGACTGAGTGACATTTCCCTTAGATAGGGGGCTGTCAGTTTGTGCACACATCCGTTACATGAAATATTAGACTTATATTGTTAATGTTTCAAGTCTATGGCCAGGCCTTACATTCCCGAAGAAAACGAAGTGTCAGAAGAAGAACGTGTCTCTGGCATTTTGGCTTTTGGAGGCACTTCCAAGACTTTTATCAATGATAAAGAATTTAATCAACAGTACTATCCCAGACTGGTGGCGGATCTACATATTATCAAAAATTACACGTGAGTAACTGAGATAAGTTATTTATGTATATATTTCATATATATATATATTTTATCCTCACCCAAGGACATTTTTGCGTTTATTTTCAGATAGATTTGGGTGGCGGGGGGAGGAAACATTGATGTGAGAGAGACATAGTGAGTGGTCACCACCCACACGACCCTAACCGGGGCTGGGGACAAACTGCAACTGAGGTAAGTGCCATTAGCTGGAACTGACCCCAGGACTCTCTGCTTAGAAGGCCGATGATCTGACCACTGAGCCAAACCGGTCAGGGCTTGTGAGTGATTTTTTTTTAAGAAATTATCATTTATTTAAAAATGTAGATTGGGCCTTGGCTGGTTTGGCTCAGCGGTTGGAGCGTCAGCCTGTGGACCACAGAGTCCTGGGTTCGGTTCCAGTTAGGGGCACGTACCAAAAAAAAAAAAAAGTAAATTGGCAGTTCTCTGAGACTACTTATACAGGAAGACAACATTCTAAGAGTTTGCTTTCATTTCCTTTGGGGCCACCTATGATAGTTTTCCTGGCTTAGAATGGAGCATGGGCACAGAAATTATATAACTAAAAGAAGAACGGGCCCTGGCCGATTTTGATCAGTGGTTAGAGCGTCGGCCTGTGGTCCAGAGAGACCCAGGTTTGGTTCCCGCTAAGGGCTCATACTTCGGTTGCAGTTTGTCCCCGGCCCTGGTCAGATCATGTGGGTGGCAGCCACTCAATTTATCCTTTTTATGTCAATGTTTCTCTCTCTCTTCTCTCTCCTTCCCACTTTATCTGAACAAAAAATGGAAAAATGGCCTCGAGTAAGGATTTAAAAAAAAGATGAACAGAACATATTTTTGTTTTATGTGTGTGTGTCTGTGTGTCTGGTTTGACATACTTGTTTAAAAAAATCATTTTTTTCTTATTGATTTCAAAGAGAGGAAGGGAGAAGAGAGAGAGATAGAGACACTAATGAGAGAGAACATCGATTGGCCGCCTCCTGTATGCCCCCCACTGGGAATTGTGCTCACAACCTGGGCATGTGCCTGGACCAGGAATTGAACCAGCAACCTCTTGGTGCATGGGTCGATGCTCAACCACTGAGCCACACTGGCTGGGCTGACACACATGTTTTATCATACAACTGTTTTGTGAATAAATGAATGCCCAGGAGTTCTCATCTTCTTAGAGGGTCAGCAGGAACAAATCCCTGCTTTTTGAGTTGTGTGGAGGTGAACCAGGTGGGGAAGGAGTGGTTGGCTTTTTGTGAATTCTGTTCCAAAACTCACTGAACTCCATGGCATCTGACCGTTGCTTTTACTCATGAGATGTGTGTATTGGTGCTTGATTCTTCTGGTAGGACTGGAGTCCTACAACTCTGTGAAGCCTTCCCAGTAATCTAAACCTACCCATGGCTCTTCGTTCCCTAACTCTCCCAGGCAGTGACCGTGGGGCCAGCCTCTGACCCTTAGTAACCATTAGACTGGCCCATGAATTTCTCCTGTTTTGCCAGGGCTCTGTCTCCTCCATATATGTTCCTAGAAGGTGGATGCTTGGGCCTATGTTTTTTTCATTTCCTCCATAAAGGCTGGACCTAGGCATAGGGCCACCATGGGCAGGGCTTGTGGTAAGAAGTTTACACAAATATCTATAAAAAGTGCAGCCTACTTGAAAAGCACCTTGAGGACAGACAATCCCGCTCACCTATGACACGTCCCTCCATGCACTGCCATCTACAGTCTATCACTAAGCCCACCAGCTCCCCCGCATCCCCAGTGACCCAGGTCTATAGGACCATTTCTGTCCCAACAACCTTTGCCCAAGTGTGATTCTCACAGGGATAAGCTGTCTGTGTCGCTGGTTTAGCACAGAGTCAGAATCAAAGGAACCCAGTCTGACATCACCATCCTTCCCCAAAATAGAAAAGTAATCCAAGTTACTGGGAATATTCCATGAAATAATGTAGGCAAAAGCTGGTTTTTAATAATTAGGCCTCGCACAATGGTTAAACACGCTGTCTGCAGACTTAGGATCAAAACACTTTCAGCTTCATACTAACTCTGAGATTCAGAGCCAGTTTCTTTGACAGTCTGGGCCTGGCCTGTCAGAGGCAGGGAGCACATGACCTCCCCCAGGTGTTGTGGTGAGGATAAAGGAGGTCAGCCTGGCCATGTAACTATCCACCACAATTTTAAAAAACAAAACACAACCATTTGTATGTCCTGTTTAAAGAGGTATCTATTTAGTTACTCTACCCATTTTTTAATTGAGTTCTTCCTTTTGTTGAGATGTATGAGTACTCTATATATTTTTGAAATACACCCCTTATCTGATGTATGGTTGGCAAGGGAAATAAGCCAATCAGAGAAAGACAAATATCACATGATCTCACTTATTTGTGGAATATAATGACAAAATGAGTGGATGAATAATATAAACCCAGAGACTTGAAAGTAGGGAACCTACTGCCAAACTTCAAAGGAAGGGGGTGGGGGCTGGGGGATCAAAGAACTAATATGCATATGTGCATAACCAATGGATGTAGATAACAAAGCTGTGAGGGAGTGGGAGAGGTGGGATCAGAAGGAGGTTGTCAAGGAAGGAACAAAAATAAATTATCTATAACATAAATAGATTAAGAAAATTAATTAAATTTAAAAAATAACAAAAAATTCACTACCAAGGCTACTGTTTTGGCTTTGTTAACATTTGTTAGTAGAGCCTTGGGGTGTCGATGGTGGGCCATGTGCAACAACAGCCCACCAGAAAAATTAAAATGGAGAGAGTACAGCATGCAGGAGGACCACCAGGGACCTCAGGGCAAGGTGCAGGCGGAGGGTGTGGCTGGATCCTAGGCACAGGCTTATATTAGTGTCTGTGGGTGCAGTATGTTGGGGTTCTTGGGCCAAGGTCAGGTTGGTCTATTCAAACAAACAAAAAAAAGTTGGGTTTTGGTGAGCTTCACAGTAGTGGTGTCTAAGGGATGCATAAGAGGAAAGCTCAGGGAGGCGGGAGAGACTGTTACTCACAGGGCTGTGGGGGACTCACATCGGGGACATACCTTTACTTGTGACTCTGCAGCTGTCATCTAGGACTTGTACTGCAATGTGGGTGCCGAGGCAGCCACGGTCTACTGTGGCTCAGAAGAAAAGTCCCCAACACCAAAATAAAAGCTAAATCTCTCACAGGGATGTTGCACTCATACAATAGAGAAAACCTGTTAGCACTTTCCCCCTCTCCCCTGTCACTCCAAGTGCAACAGCCACCCGCAACTGTGTGCTCCTCTCCCCAAATGCCTAAATCCCTGCTAAACCACGCGCTCTCAATTCTTCTTCCCTCTTCACTGTTGCTCCTTCCACGGTCTCAGACTGTTCTCTCTTCTGGTCGCTGCAGCTCTCAGTTGTTTCCAATAAACATAAAATCAGGACTGTGGATTGTCTCTCAGTCTTCTGTTTCTATCACCACCAGGGGTCAGAGCCTGGAGGCCACAATGAAAGTCTGTGACAGGTGCAGCTGAGGGCTCCCAACTGCCCTCAAGCTGTCCTCATCTCCTGCCTGAACATTGGTCCCGTTCCCTCCTCTCCTCCTGGAGCCCTGTTATATACATGCTAGGTTGCTGGGCTTTGTCCCATGGCTCTGGGATACTCTGACTTTCTAAACTCTTTGTTTCCTTTGCATTTCAGTTTGGACGATTCTTATTGACCATCTTCAAGGTCAGTGATTCTTTCTTCAGCTGTATCCGGTCTACTGATGAGCCTGTCAAAGGAATTCCTCAGTCGGTTGCTGTTTGTTCCTAAACTTTCTATTGGACTCTTGTGTAGTATAGTTTTCACCTCTCTTATAACCTTCCCCATTTGCTCACACATACTGTCCACCTTTTCTGTGAAATCCTTTGACATCTCAAACAGAGGTATTAAAGTCCATGATAGTTCCATCATCCGGGTCTTAGTGAGTCTGATTCTTTTGATTGCTCTGTCTCTTGACAATGGAGTTCTTTCCTGCTTTCTTCTGGCTGATCATTTTTGTTTATTGAAAGCTAAATATCATGCATAAAACAGAGACTACAGTACATATTTTTTACACCTGGACTTGCCACCTCTCATCTCCTGTCAGGCCATCAGTACACGGAGTTGAGTCTATCTAAACTAGAAATGACCGGTGTTTGGCTTTTGTTGTTACTGTTGTCACTCCGGGCAATACCCCCTTCCAAGTCCACTCGTGTTACTATGTTACTATGGAGAGTAGGCTGCTGGAGAATTTCCCTCCATGCTTGTCTTTCTTGTACCTCATAGAAAAATCTCTCCCATTTTACAGACAGCTGTTCCTCGATGTGTGGTATCAGCCTCTGGGAGAAGATGGGGAGTTCTTGGGCCTCTTCGAGTCTCGCACTTCCATCTTAGGCAGGACCTTTGGTCTGGGCCCTGTGGGCCCTGTGGATGTAACTCTCAGCGTGCCTGCTCCTTCTCCCTGTATCTATGGCTGGTCTTATGTGGAAGCTCCTGCCCCTCCCCAGAAGTAGAAAGTTTGCTATAGAGGTGGGCCTAATACCATTTCCCACTCCCTCCCCCAGGGTAGAGGGTCAGTGCTTCCATCCCCTGTAGCCATGGGTCTTCACTTGTAGGGAAGTGATTGTGTCTGATGCTCCTCTTCCAGCAGCTTGAGGCTGTTGCTTAGTAGGAAAGAAGGGTCTGGGAAGGGGCCAGGGTTTAGTATCCATTTTATAGCCACAGCCAATTTCCTACTGCACACCTGCCCCACCCAGGAAGCTTTTCCTGACTTCCCATCTTGTTCCAAGTCTTTCATGTGAACCCCTAGTGAAGGCCTTGGAAAAGGGTCTGTGAGCAGTGTGGATTCCATTTGACAACACCCCACCTTTGCCCACCTTGATCTCTAGCACTCTGTTACCATTTTAGCTGATTCTTCTTCCTTAAATGTCCAGCAGACACCATTCCTCCTGTGTTTTTGGCCCCCCTGAACCAGCCTGCATGCCCCGCCCCTCCTTAGAGGTACCTGGCCCTCCTTGAATTTGTTTTCTCTTTGGCTTGCAGACCAGCTCTCTAGTGAGTTCAAGTAAAGTTGTGATCTTGTAGTTTGTTCGGCTTTTTCTCATCATCAGTTTGAGAGTGGCACTCTTAGTTTTCCGCATTCTGGGAAACGATGGGAATTTTTTTTTTTAAGAGAATGAATTCTTGCCTGAAATATTGAAAGAACCACCAAGCTGGTCATAGACCCCATGTCTCACCCAGAGGTATGAAAGTCAAGTTTGGTCATGACCCACTTGCCTTCAATCCTTTTGGTGGCTCCTGTCATTCCAAGGATGACCAAAATCCTCTATGTGCCTAGACCTGGGCCTGGCCCACCTCTTTTACCTAATCTGGCCAATCTCCCCTTTGCTTTCTGATATTCAATGATCTGTGCTCAATCTCTTTCCTCTTCATTTAGATCTGATTCACCTTTTCCCCAGGGAGAATTTGCTCAATGCCACCACCAACTTACACATCTCTCTGGTTGTCTAATTATTTCATTTATATGTGTCTCCCCAGACAGTCTCTTAAGTTTCAGGAGGAGAGAGACTGTGTCTTTCCACCGCTTCCTGGTGGCTAACACAGCAGCTAGCACATAGCTGAATAAACATATGTTGCTGTTGTGATTCAACTGAGAATGGGTGGAACCGGCCCAGGGGACCTGCTTGCATGAACCTGCTTTTGTTCTGCTGGTTTATGTCTGTTTCCCCAGACAGTCTCTATGTTGCAGGAGGAAAGAGACAGTGTTTGTCGGTTCACTGGACCATGAACCAACCATGGAGAGCTGGTCGTTTGTGGAAAAGGCAGTTAAAGGGACTATTTATGACCAGCCTCAGCCTGAGTGGGACTCAGGGCCCAGGTGTCATCAGGCTGCCATCTGTATTGTTCTAGAATTTAGATGATCTTGGAAAATGGCCTGGACAACAGTCTGCCATGTGGAAGTATGGCTGGTAAAAAATGTTTGGATTGCTGGAAATAGCAAAAGAGAAAAACGTGACAGCACAGCACATTTCGTTCATGGGACTCTAATGATAGGAAAAGATCCAGGGAAAAATACTCACCGGCTCTTTTCTGTTTACAGCTTTAAAGCACCATCTGAGCCGGTTCTGTCATGTGACTTAACATGCTTTGTTGGATCTGAAGAGATAATAGAGGATTTAGAAGGTAAAATGATTCTGATACGTCTGAATATTTCACTGAGATATTTGTTAGATGGTTTTTCTGCTAAAGTTCAACCAGCAGTTACTGCAATGAGTAGAAAACAGGCCCAGGTTTTATTTAACGTAAACTGAGACATATCAGCTGTGTGGAAAATGAGAGAGCACTGCTGTGTGCTGATAGGTCTCAGAGAAATGAAAACTGCAGGGCTCACTGAACATGAGACCTTGAAAGTAACTTGCCACTGGGGTCCGATCTTTGGAAAGTGATATCTGGAAGTAAGTGTTTTGTTGTTTTCGGTAAGTGCCATTTGTTACTAAATCTATCATTTTGCTTATTTTTAGGCTGGAAAGATTTAACCAGTGGAAGTTTTCGTATGCATGTGCTTCCAGGAAATCACTTTCATCTCATGGAAGCTGCCAATGAGACCTTCCTCAAGAACTACATAACCAAGTGTCTAGAGATATCGATGCTCGCCGGACTTTAGGTAGCCTTCCTTTCGGTTTTAAAACAAGTCGAAGTGATGATATGATACTTATTCTGCCCCCATCCTTAGAAATAGTTCTTTAGTTTCATTCAGAAATTGGAAAGTTATGCATTTGCTACATTACGGTGATTTGTTATATATAAATGTATTTCTCTGTGGGGCATTTATGTATCTGGGGACAAAGGCAACAGGGCAGGCATGCTTCTGGCAGGGTCCTTTGTCTGTAATAGAATCTCATTTGAGTTTCATCTGTGGGAAGTTAGTCAACAAAATTCCTGCTTGGTAAATGATCTGCTTTTTCCTTCATTTATTTTAATTAAGTGAAATGGCACACAGGGGCATGATTGAAATTAAATTAAATTAAATGGTTTCATCTGCACACTGGGACTCAATGCTTGATCTAATCTTTTGAAATATAAGCTCATCCCATTGAATAAGAAAATGTAACCTAGTGCTCTGTTAAAACAAGATAGTTCTAAACAACCATTGCAGCTGTTCTGTTAAGTCCCAGGGTGCCTGGAAGTCCTGGTCATCTTCTGAGGGGTTTCTCCTGCACTGGTTGCCCGTGGGCTCCGGGCGGCCCTGCTGCTGCCCAGGCAGTGACTGACGTTGGCGCAGGGGCAGTATGGAGTGGCCAAGTACAGATGCCACGTCCCTTAGGCTCCCTCAGCCTTGCTCTGTGACCATATGGCGTTGACATGGGCAGGAAGCAGAACAGCTGGAGACACACAGGAGCTAAAAGGGAAACAGGCAGACACAGGGAAAATGAGCTGAGTCGGAACAAAGAAGCCTACAAATGGGGTCCACTGATGCCGTTGAGGAGAATGAAGAGGCACCATGTCTCTGAGCCGTGTGGACCCTGCCGTCTCCTGCAATTCCCACACTGTCTGTCTCTTGGGATCCTAGCTATTCTATAGACATCCTGATTTCTTTATTTCCCGTGGATCTTCACAATAAACTCTACTACTGGATTGATGAAACCGATGTCTCCTCCTTACTGCTTAGCCTGCTTAACCCAGCATCATAAGTTAAAATGTAAACTTTTAAAGCATTGATATGTTTATGATCACATAATCCGGGTTTGTGGTTTTTAATAATTTTAAAATCATATATAAAGAATCTTAGTAAATAGCTTGGCCAGTTTGGCTTAATGCACATTGTCCCATGAACCAAGAGAACCCTAGTCAATTCCCAATCAGGGCACATGCCAGGAATGTGGGCTTGATCCCCAGTAGGGGGCGTGCAGGAGTTGGCCAATTGATGTTTTTCTCTCCCTCTCCCTCTCACTCTCCCTTCCTCTTTCTTTAAAATCAATAACAATATATTGTTTAAAGAGTCTTAGTATATAAGATCAGGAAAAATGCATATAGGAGGTATTTTTCAGAATTTATCAGTCCTTTTTAATAATGTACACATAATATAAAATTTGTTATGGAGAAACGTCTTTAGGTTAGAATTCACATAATAATAAATTTGGGCTGAGAACAGCCTCAACAAATGATGCTAACTATTTAATACGAGCTGTGCTGTGCTTTTCTCTCTGGTATATGACTTCTAGGATTTCCTCACAAAAGAACTGGTACTAAAGTAATTTAGATTCTTGATTATTAATTCAAACAATTTTTAGTTAAAATAGTCCACAAGTTGAAATCTCAAGATGGAGCCATTGCCAGGTTTGGGGGGTGGGCTTTCTCACCTGCCTCTCCACCTGGTGGAGGGGGGTCCATGGGAACAGCTCTGAGAGTTCCCAGGTCCTCGACTGGAAGGACCGGGACTCTCATTACCGATGTCTTCTCATGGTTGGATTTGGATGTTGACTCATCATGTAAGACTTCCATCTTTAGGCAAAACTTAGTAGGAATGAGAATCATTGTTACTTCCCCAAAGTTTCCAAATTAGAGAGCAAGCTAGATTTGTTGTTAATTAAGGTTTTTATTTTGAGATCTTTACAGACTCACATGTGATTGAAAGAAATGATACAGAAATACTCAGTTTCCCCTAATGATAACATCGTACAAAACTCATGTAACATCACAACCAGGATATTGACATTCATACGGCAAGATACAGAACACTTCTAGACCGCAGGATCCCTCCTGCTGCCCTTTTATAACCACACCCAAGTCCCTCCTCCCTGGCAATTCCTTTGCTGTTCTCTAGGTCTATATCGAGAATTTTCCAGAAATGGGGTTGTCCAGTATGTAAAGATTGGGATTGGCTTTTTTCACTCAGCATAATTCCCTGGAAATTCCTCCAGTGAATCTAGATTTTTTTTAAAGTCACATGAAATCAATCTATCCCTCTGGCCATACCACACCAAACCTGAACCCTCATGCAGGCAATATATACTGTCTTGGGGAGATTTGCAGCCTATGAAATCTCAAACAGATTTTAGAACTATTAAAATGAGACTGTCTTTGCCTTGACCAAGTGGCTCAGTTGGTTGGAGTGTTGTTGCATTCACCAAAAGGTTGCAGTTCGATGCCTGATCAGTGCACTTACTTAGGTTTCAGGTCTGATCCCCAATCGAGGCGTGTACAGGAGGCAACCTATCAATGTTTCTCTCACATAGATGTCTCTCTCTCTGTCTCTCTCTAAATCAATAAAAACATATCCTTGGGTGAGGATTAAAAAAAGAGAGAGAGCCCTGGCTGGTTTGACTAAGCGGTTAGAGAATCAGCCTGTGGACCAGAGAGTCCCGGGTTCGGTTCCTGCTGACAGCAAGTATGTCATTTGCAGTTCGTCCCCGGCCCTGGTTGGGGTCATGTGTGTGGCAACCAGTTGATGTTTCTCTGTCACATTAATGTTTCTCTCTCTCTCCGTCCCTCTCTCCCTCCTGCTCTATCTGAAGATAAATGCAATATATGTATATTGCAATATATATATATATCCTCAGATGAGTATAAAAAAAAGAAAGGCCCTGGCTGGTTTGGCTCAGCGGTTGGAGCGTCAGCCTGCGGTCCAGAGAGACCCGGGTTGGGTTCCCGCTAAGGGCACGTACCTCGGTTGCAGTTTGTCCCCGGCCCTGGTTGGTCGTGCGGGTGGCAGCCACTCAATGTGTCCCTTTCACATCGATGTTTCTCTCTCTCTCTCTCCCTCTCTCTCCCTCCCACTCTACCTGAACAAAAATAGAAAAATGTCCTCGGGTGAGGATGAAAAAAATAAAATAAAAAAAAGAAAGAGTATCTTCTTTCAGAGAGTCCATGTAACAGCAAGAAAGACTGAGGACTGGGCCAATATGGTGTTTCAGACTCTACACTTTCACTCTGATAAAACTTAACATTAGAGGTATATTACCACTAGATATTACATTTCGGTTTGATTTTTTGATTCGTCTTAAACATAAGAATTTAAAGAAAAATAGCTGATAGTCCCATCACGGCATTTTTTTTCTTTGAAAAGCTATAGACTAATAAATTTATTTTTTAATTAGCTTATTTATTGTTAGGTGTTATAAAGTATAAGCTTTAAAGTGGAAGTAGAATAATTCCAGTTATCTCATTGAACTCTTACAACTCTGTAAGATTGATATTTTTTTCCAGTCCTACAAATGAGACATAGCAAAGTTACATAACTTGCCTAGGTCACCTAGTAACTAAATCGCAGAGTTAAGGACTGGATCCAGGATTGAAATCCAGTTCTGCATCAGTGTGAACCCAAAGCTACATGGTATAACAAAGGAATAGTTTTGTTATTGGTTCTTTAAACTCTGTTGATTACAGCCCAGCCGGTGTGGCATGCAGGAGGCAGCCAATCGATGTTCTCTCTTTTCGATGTTTTTCTCTCTCTCTCCTTCTCCCTTCCTCTCTCTCTAAAATCAATAAAGAAAAAAAAATATTTTAAAAAAACTGTCAATTACACCACTGTAGAAAAACAGGTAAGCCCAAAGAACAAATAATTGTTAGCATTTTGTGCACACACTACCAGTGCAAAAATTTTTTTAAAGAATATTTAAAATCACCATGGCCAGTTTGGCTCAGCAGTAGTGTCAGCCCACAGACCAAAGAGTGAGGGTTCGATTTTTGTCAAGGGCAAGTACCTTGGTTGCAGCATCCCCGCCCCTGGTCAGGTCGAACAGGAGGCAACCAGTCGATGTGTCCCTCTCATGTCGATGTTTCTCTCTCTCTCCCTCCCACATCATCTGAAGATAAATAGAAAAATATCCTCAGGTGAGGATTAAAAAGAAAAAAGAATATTTAAAATCATCTCTTTATGTTGACTAGTCTTTGATACATGTGATGAATCAGAAAGCGAAAGATAATTTTTTAAATATAAAAAAAAACCCACCTGGTTTTAGCAAGTAAAATTTCCTTAAATATGTAGTACTTTCATCATACCTCTAACTAAGGTTTCTAATTCATGTTACTAGCAAAAATATTCATGATACGTAAAGAGTTAACTGTGTATTTCTCCCCTAAGTGTTAGGTCAGGAGACCATTATGAAGGCTTCAAAAGAAAAGTTTTCTCACATGCTGAATTCTAAATTCCATATTTTTCTATCAGCTCTTTTGCTTTAGAAATATAGGCATTCATGGCATCTTCCTTTGATAATCCTGGAAAGATACAAACAGATTATCTCATTAACAGACTTATTGGGAAGTTAAGAAAGTTTGTTCAATTTATTTAAGAATTAACAACCTTTTTGGAGGTTCCATGCTTCCCACTTAGCCTTGCCTTTTAAATCTAACATTCCTGGACACTCTGCCAAAAAAAAGGATAGACATATTTTCAGTTTTACTATTTATACTTCTATAAACATTGTTGAAACAAAGTATATCACTATTTTTAAGATGACAATAAATATCTTGAAATGACATGGAGGGAAAGTATTATCCTAAGCAAAACAAGCCAAGCAGAGAAAGACAAATATCACTGGAATATAATGAACTAAACAAACTGATGAATAAAATAGACCCAGAGACATAGAAGTAGGGTACAGACTAACATTCCTCAGAAGTGGGCAGGGGGAGGGGGGACAAACCACAGAACTTATATGCATGTATGCATAACCGATGGACATAGACAATAAAACTGTGGATGGGGTAAGAGGGGATAGGAAGGAGGGAGTCAATGTGGGGGAAAAGGAGAAACATCTGTAACAAAAATAAATTAATTTAAAAAAAAGAAATACCACCCAAAATAAATAAATAAATAAATTTCGGTAACAAAATTAAAAAAAAAAAAAAAAAAAAAAAACTACCAAAATAAATAAATAAAAAGACAAGGAAATTTTAAAAAGATGACAATAAATACCAATATTGATGTCTCCAATCACAGATTGTTTGTAGAGCCCATAGAGTTCTTTCAGTTCTTCATCATCCGGCCTTGTTTTCAGTTTCTTCACATCTTCGGCCGCCCTGTCAAAATCAGCCTACAGCAACAGGGGAAAAGACACACAGAGCATTCGCTAAGTGTACGCAGGCCCATCTGTCTAGGGCTTCACCAAGCAGTGGGTGCTCACAGAGGAACAGGGGTGTTTCAAATAGAAACGAACTACTACTGCTCAGTTTCCACCAGAAGTATTATAACTTATTCATGGACACCACTCCTAGTACTTACCTGATAATATAGACAGGATATGCAGAACAAAACATAATTCTGAATACTGAAAGTGTTTTGTTTATTTATGTTTAAAAACAGAAGATGACACAAGTAAATGGAAAAATGTCCTGTGTTCTTGGATTGAAAAAATTAATATTGTTAAAATGTCCATACTACCCCAAGCAATCAAGCAAACTACAAATTCAATGCAATCCTTATTAAATTCCAGTGGTATTTTTCACAGAAATAGAAAAAAACAATCCTAAAATTTGTATGGAACCACAAAAATTTCAAATACACAAAGCAGTCTTGAGAAAGAAAATTAAACCCAGAGGTATCATGCATTCTGATTTCAAACTATAATACAAAGTTATATTATTCAAAACAGTATGGTACAGTCATAAAAACAGGCACCCAGGTCAATGAAATGGAATAGAGAGCCCAGAAAGAAACCCATGCATATATGGTCATTTTATTTTACAACAAATAAGCCAAGAATATACAACAGGGCAAAGATGGTCTCTTCAATAAATTGTATTGGGAAAACTGAACAGCCACATGCAGAAGAATGAAACTGGACCACTATCTTACACCATACACAAAAATCAACTCAAAATGGATCAAACACTTGAACATAATACTTGAAATCATAAAACTCCAAGTAGAAAACATAGGTGGTAAGCTCCTTGACAATGGTCTTAGAGATAATTTTTTTAGACTTGACATGCAGAGCACAAGTAACAAAAGCAAAAGTAAATAAGTAGCATTACATCAAACTAAAAAGCTTCTGCACAGCAAAGGAAACCATCAAGAAAATGAAAAGGCAACCTACTAAATGGAAGAAAGTATTTGAAAAGCACATAGCTGATGGGGGTTAATATCCAAAATATATATAAAGAAGTCATACAATTCAATAACAAAACACAATCAATCCAACTAAAAAGGGGAAGTGGATCTGAATAGACATTTTTTCCATAGAAGACATACAGATAGCCAACAGACATATGAAAAAGTGCTCAACATCACTAATCATCAGGAAAATGCAAATCTAAATCCCAATGAGATATCACTTCACACCTGTTAGAATGGCTTTAATCAAAAAGATAAGAGATAAGTGTTGGTGAAGATGTGGAGAAAAGGGAACCCTTGCACTCTTGTTGGTGGGAATGTAAAATAGTGCAGCCACAATGGAAAACAGTATGAAGGTTCCTTAAAAATTTTTATTTTATTTTTTTATTATTTTTTAATTTTTTTTTATCCTCACCCGAGGACATTTTTCGATATTTTGTTCAGATAGAGTGAGAGGGAGAGAGAGAGAGAGAAACATCGATGTGAGAGTGACACATCGAGTGGCTGCCACCCACACGACCCAACCAGGGCTGGGGACAAACTGCAACCAAGGTACGTGCCCTTAGTGGGAACTGAACCTGGGTCTCTCCAGACCGCAGGCCAATGCTCCAACTGCTGAGCCAAACCGGCCAGGGCCCTGAAAAAATTTTAAATAGAACTATTATATGATCCAGCAATCCATTTCTGGATATTTATCTGAAGAAAACAAAATCACTATCTAAAAAAGACAACTGCATCTCCATTTTCACTGTAGTACTATTTACAATAATCAAGACATGGGAACAACCTAAGTGTCCATCAACAGATGACTGGATAAAGGACATATATACAATAAAATATTACTCAGCCATGGGGCAGGAACTGAGGAAGAGGGCAATGGGGGTGGAAATAAGGGACATCTGTAATACAACAACAAAGATTTTAAACATTACTCAAAACTTTATACCTAAAAATAATTGCTGTTTGCAATTTTCTTTGGATATACATTTTTTTACAAAAAAAAATTATTCAGCAATTAAAAAAGAGACAACCCTATTTGTGACAATATGAATGTACCCCGAGGGCATTACACCATGTAAAATAAGTCAGACAGAGAAGACAAATATGTATGGAATATAAAAAAACTAAACTCATCGAAACAAAGAACAGATTTGGTGGTTATGAGAAGCAGGGGGTTGGGGGCTGAGGGAAATAGGTGAAGTGGTCAAAAGGTTTAAAAAATTGTAACACATTTTTCCTGTAAGTTAAAAGCACATAAATAATAGTTTCTATTAAAAATTGTTTAATTGAGTTATACTCAATGCAACTTCTTGATCACCTTCATAGACACTTTCTTCACTTCTTCCTAAATCTATATTGCCTAAATCAAATCTATAGGTAATAGCTTTGCTACCAATTAATACCTTGTCCAGGACACATGCCTTTCACATTCTTCAGCATCAGTGTTATTTGTACCTCTTTAGTAGACTAGCTAGTTTCTGAGGGCAGTGTTTCTGATTTCATTGTGTAGATTCCTTTAACCAAAACTTGTAAGACCAGTTTACAGAAAAGACAAGTTGTTCAACCACCTTAGAGCTGATTAGTGAAGAGAAACTGGCTTCCTGAAAACTTTGTATACAAATAGTCTCAGTAATAAACTTTGTTCTTGCTCTGGCCAGTGTGGTTCAGTGGTTGGAGTGTCAGCCCTTGCACCTAAGTGTCCCAGGTTCAATTCCCAGTCAAGGGCATGTACCTGGGCTGCAGATTTAATTCCTGGCCTTGGTCAGGGCATGTACAGGAGGCATCCAATTGATGTGTCTCTCTCACATTGATGTTTCTCTCTCCCTCTCTCTCTTCCCTCGTCTCCCTCTCCCTCCCTCTCTCCCTTCCTTTCAATGGGAAAAATATCCTTGGGTGAAAATTAACAACAAAAATAATAATTATATATAAAAAATGTTTTTAATAAAAATAAACTTTGTCCTCCCCTCATGACTTAACTGTGAACACCCTGACCTGCCTAACTCCCCAGGACCTTCAGGATGGCCCAGAACTCTCAGCTCAGGACTTGACCAGAAGCCTCCCTCTTGGCATATTCTTCACCGAGACAAAGTATACATAGAAACTTGATTCCTGTCCCCTTTTTAACCTCTTAGTGTATATACAAAGGCTATGGTGATTGTTTTCATTAATAGAACTTTTTCCATTCTTTTGTTTTAATCATTTTTATTTTTCAGTTACAGTTGATACACATTATTATATTAGTTTCAGGTGAACACCCAGTGATTAGACATTATATAACTAAGTGATCTTCCTGATAAATCTCACACCCATCTGACATCATACAAAGTTAACAGAATATTATTGACTATGTATTCCCTATGCTGTATTTTACCTCCCCATGACTATTCTGTAACTACAAATTTGTACTTCTTGATCCCTTCACCTTTTCGCCCATTCCCCCAACCCCATCCCATCTGGCAACCACCAAAATGTTCTCTGTGTTTGAGTCTGTTTCTGTTCTGCTTGTTCATATATTTTGTTTTTTAGATCCAATCATTAATAGATATGTATTTACTGTCATTTTATTGTTCAATTTTTTTATCTTTTTCTTCTTCTTAAATAAGTCCCTTTAACATTTCATGCCATACTGGTTTGGTGGTGATGAACTGATTTAGCTTTTACTTGTCTGGGAAGTTCTTTCTCTGTCCTTCAATTCTAAATGACAGCTTTGCTGGGTAATTTTGGTTGTAGGTCCTTGCTTTCCATTACTTTGAATATTTCTTACCAATCCCTTCTAAATGCAAAGTCCCTATTGAGAAATCAGTTACAGTCTTATGGGAGCCCCCTGTAGGTAACTAACAGCTTTTCTCTTGAGCTTTTAAGAGTCTCTCTTTTCCTTTAATCTTTGCATTTTAATTATGATGTGTCTCGGTGTGGGCCTCTTTGGGTTCATCTTGTTTGGGACTCTCTGCACTTCCTGGACTTGTATGTCTATTTCCCTCACAGATTAGGGAAGTTTTCTGTCGTTATTTTTTTCAAATGTGTTTTCAATTTCTTGCTCTCTCTCTTCTCCATCTGGCACCCCCATGATCTGAATGTTGGTATACCTGAAGTTGTCCCAGAGGCTCCTTACACCATTCTCATTTTTTAAAATTCTTCTTGCTGTTCTGATTGGATATCAGAACAATCATATATATTCCAAATCGCTGATTTGATTCTCAGTTTCATCTACTCTACTCTTGATTCCCTGTAAATTATTCTCCACTTCAGTTAGTGCTTCCTTCATTTCTGACTGGTCCTTTAATATGCTGTTGATGTTCTAGTTCATTGAGCATCCTTATAATATTTTGAACTGTGCATCTAGTAGATTGCTTATCTCCATTTTGTTTAGTATTTTTTCTGAAGGTTTGTTCTGTTTCTTTCCTTTGGGACATGTTTCTTTGTCTCCTCATTTGGCAGCCTCTCTGTGTTTGTTTCTATGTATAGGTAGAGCTGCTATGTCTCCCAGGCTTGGTAGAGTGGCCTGATGTAGTAGGTATTCTGTAGGGTCCTGTGGCACAGTCTCCCTGATCACCCAAGATGGGCACTCGCGAGGTGCGCTCCTGTGTGGGTTGTGTATATCCTTCTCTTGCAGTTGAGCCTCAACTGCTGTTGGCACATCAATGGGAGGGATTTACCCTCAGGCCAATCAGCTGCAGGCACTGGCTCTGACCACCATGGAAGATCAGCTGTGCAGGGGCCCACGCCACAGAGTGGGACTTACTTCAGCAGGGCTCTGGTGCCTGCTGAGTCTGCCCCTTGAGTGTGTGTGGTGGTGGTTGGGTGCTGGTGCTTCAATGTGGTCTGAAGCTGTCTACTGGGTGCACTGGCTTTGGGGCTTCCCAGAAAAGGTGCAGGCCAAGGTCAGCCACAACCTGTGTTCTGCCCTGGGCCATATGGAATGAACTAAACAGCAATCTGCAGATGGCTGCTACTTGTGTTGGGTTTGGAGGTGCCCAGGTA